CCCCAGCCCGCAGCTCCTCCATCCCCGCGTCCAGGTGTTCTGCGCTCCAGAGGAACTCGGGCAAGGTGCGGGTCCAGGCGAGCCCCGGGCCCGCGGGAGAGCCCCGGGGCCGAAGCTGCGGGAGCTGCTCTTCCCAAAGCCCCTCCCGAGCCTGAGCCCGGCCCCGCCGCAGAACCGGACCCTCCCCGCGCTGGGCAGCGGCTCCCGGGAGCTCGGGGGAGCCCGGGAGGGCCGGGCCGGGCCGGACCTGCGCCCGCGGGCGCAGCGGGAGCCGCGGCCGGCCCCGGGCGGGCTGCAGAAGCTTTTCGGCTGGGGCGATTTTTACTCCAACATCAAGACGGTGAAGCTGAACCTGCTGATCACGGGCAAGGTCGTGGATCACGGCAACGGCAGCGTCAACGTCTTCTTCCAGCACAACTCCACGGGCCACGGCAACATCTCCGTGAGCCTCGTGCCCCCCACCAAGGCCGTGGAGTTCGACCTGGAGCAGCAGATCTTCATCGAGGCCAAGGAGTCCAAGGTGTTCAACTGCCGCGTGGAGTCGGAGCAGGTGGCCCGGGCCAGGAAGACCTCGCTGTGCACCTTCGACCCGGCCAAGACGTGCTCGCAGGAGCACACGCAGAGCCGCGCGGCCTGGCTGTGCTCGCAGCCCTTCCGCGCCGTCTGCGTGTACATCACCTTCTACAGCAGCGACTACCGCCTGGTGCAGAAGGTGTGCCCCGACTACAACGCCCACAGCCGCCGGCCCTACTTCCCCTCGGGATGAGCCCCGCGCCGCCACTCCCGGGATTCCCGGGGCTGCGATTCCCGGGCAGAGATTCCCGGGCTGCGATCCCCGGGGCTGCAATTCCCGGTCAGCGATTCCCTCGATTCCCGGTTCGCGATTCCCGGGCAGAGATTCCCGGTCCGCGATTCCCGGTCCGCGATTCCCGGGGCAGCAATTCCCGGGATTCCCGGGGCTGCGATTCCCGGGCAGAGATTCCCGGGCTGCGATCCCCGGGGCTGCAATTCCCGGGCTGCGATTCCCTCGATTCCCGGTCCGCGATTCCCGGGGCAGCAATTCCCGGGATTCCCGGGCAGCGATTCCCGGATCTGCGATTTCCAGGGCTGAGATCCCCGGTCCGCGATTCCCGGGGTCCCGCGGCTGGAGGGATGGGGGTGGCTTTGGAGCCGGGAATGCTCCCTGGAATCCGCAGGCGTGGAAGGAAGAGGAGAATTTCCCATTTTCCCCGGTGGGGAGAGGGGCAGCGGCAGCCGCGGCCCCGGGGTCTGCAGAGACCGGGACGTGGAGCAGGGCTGGATTTGGGACGTGGGAACAGGACAGAGCCACGGTCGGGACTCGAGCTCCTCAGAGCAATAATGGAGCGGCCTGGATTGGGATTTGGTGATTCCAGGTAAAGAGGGCTCCGGAGGGAGGGCCGCAAGCCCTGGAGACCGGGAGGAGCTCGGGGAAGGGGGGAGAAGTCACCGGAGGGTGCCACCTGGCCCCGGGCACCCTCGGGCTCTGCAGGAGCTGGGGATGAGCCCTCCCGAGCCGGGACGGGCAGGGCGGCTCTCCCCACGCCAGGCCGGTGCCGCGGGGGGGTTCGGGGACTCGGAGCTGCGTTCCCGGGCGGAGCAATCCCGGCGGAGCGGGTCCGGTGTGCGGGCACAGCGAGGGATCCACGCGGCGCCCCCGGGTGCGATTCACACGCTGCTTCCCCTGCACCCCCTCCCTGCCCGATCCTGCCCAGATCCCTGCCCAGATCCCTGCCCGGATCCCTGCCCTGCCCCACTTCCTGCCTGGATCCCTGCCCCGATCCCTTCCTGGATCCCTGCCCTGCCCAGATCCTGCCCTGATCCCTGCTTGGATCTCCACACTGCCCCGATTCCTTCCTGGATCCCTGCCCTGCCCAGATCCCTGCCCGGATTCCAATCCCTGCCCGGATCCCTGCCCAGATCCTGTCCCGATCCCTGCCTGGATCCTGGCCCTGATCCCAGTCCTGATCCCTGCCCGGATCCTGCCCCGATCCCTGCTCCGATCCCTGCCCGGATCCCTGCCCGCTCCCGGCTCCCGGCGCCGCCGTTCCCGGGCAGAGGGGTGGGAACGGGAGCTCAGAGCCGGGATTTCATTCCCAGGGAAGGAACAGAAACTCCCCCCGTGGCCCCGGGGAGGGAATAAAGCGCTCACGGTGGCACCGAGGCAGGGCCGGAGTTTTTCCTGGAAGTGTTGGCAGGGAGAGGGAAAACAAACGTGGGGGGCTGGGAATGAGGGATGGCCACGATGCAGGCCCGAATCCTGGAATCGGGTCCAGACCTGGACTCCCAGATTTCCTTTTATGTGGGCATTCCCAATTTCCACCCCTTGCCCAGGAATCCAAACCTCAGGCTCCTGTTTTTGTGCTATTCCCACTTTCCTCCCCTTGCCCAGATATCCAAATTTCAGTCTCTCACCTATTTGGGCATTCCCAGCTCCTGGGTATTCCCAATCTCCTGTCCTTCCCAGACATCCAAATTTCAGGCTCCTATTTTTGGGGCATTCCCAGCCTCCTCCCCTTCCCAGACATCCAAACTTCCGTCTCCCACTTCCACTGGCACATTCCCTCCTCCAGAAAAGACCAAAAAAAGCCACTTCCCTTCCCTTTCTCCCCAGAATCCAGAGCACCAGGCCAACTCCAAAAATTCCTTCCCACCCTCCCAGGACAGGTCCTGCCCCCGGGAGCAGGGTTTTACTTCCCAAAATTTATTTATTCCCAAAATAAATCCCTTCTCCAGCACTCTGGGAGGGCTTTGCCAGCTGCTGGTGGAGTTTCAGGATGAGCTCCCGCATCCAGCCAGGAGCTGCTTCCCAAAACCCACGGAGCCTCCAGAATCCGTGAGGACTTTTCCTCACCAAGCCCCGAAAGTTGGAAAAAGCTCTGGAAAATTTCACATTTCCAGGAAATAACGGGAGTGAGGTTTGGATTCAGGAGGGGAGGGAGAGGGAAATGTGGGGAACTAAAAATATTCCCGGAGGGTTCAGGTTTGCTGGAGGAAGGAGACAAAAAAATCGTTAAAATCTCATTGAGGCGACAGCAAACAAACAAACAAACAAACAAACACAAAAGTTGGAGAAACCCGGAGAAATCCCAGAGAATCGCCGCCGGAGAAGCCCCGGGAGCGGGCGGGAGCAGGAGGAGGCTCCAAGGATGCGCGGCTGCCGGAGGGATGCGAGCCGCGGTTTCTAAGGAGACCAGGACGGGCCATTCTTCCAGCCCGGAGAGGAGAATTCCTGCTCCGGGAGCCGCGGGGAGCGAGGGAGGAGCTGCAGGAGCAGCAAGGCCCGAGGGAAAATCCCCGCATCCCAAAGCCGCTCCCGGGATCGCTCCCGGGATTCCCGGTGCCCTGGGTGGTCACTGCACGGGGCAGCCCGGCTTCCAGCCAGGAACGATCCCGGATTTCCCCGCCACAGGCACATCCCGAAGCCCGGCACGCAGCGATGCCAAACATTCCCGGTTTCCAGCAGCTCCTGGGACTGTTCTCCTCCCATCCCGGGAAGGAGCTGCCACCAGCAACCTCTCCCCATCCATGGGTTCTCCTGTGCCGTAGGGGAGGGAAAACCTTGGGAATCCCAGCCCAAACCTTGGGAATCCCAGCCCAAAACCTTGGGAATCCCAGCCCAAAACCTTGGGAATCCCAGCCCAAAACCTTGGGAATCCCAGCCCAAAACCTTG